TGAGAAGGGGAAGTGGATAGATATATGAGTGAACGAATGGTTGGAAAGACAGATAAATTTAAAGTTATGTTTATGCAGGCTAGGTGAGTGGATGGATGCATGAGTAAATGGATGGAATGATTGGTGGATAGGTGGGAGTGGGGTGGAAACATGAGTATATGAATGAAAACATTAATGAAAATTAAAGATATAAAAAGAATTATGTACAAAATAATGTATACCTCTCTAAAGTAATACATTTGAAAGTGGAGAGAAAATGGATGAATTTTAGCAACATATAAAAGACCAAAATTTACAGAAGAGGTAGAGAGCCTATACAGCTTATAAAATATGTACAAAGAAAACTAGTAAAATAAATATGTCATTATAGAAGAAAGCTTACCTAGAGTTTTTGGAGCGAAATTTTGTCTAGCCTTCAAGGAATAGAGGATATCATTAAAAGTATTATTATTGAAGATATTATTAAAAATATTACAGATCATAAGAGGTGCCTGGCTGGTTCAGTTGGTAGAGCATGCAACTTTTGATCTTGGGGTGTGAGTTCAAGCCCCATGTTGGATGTAGACTTTGCTTAAAATAAAATAAAAAATAAATTTTTAAAACTTAAAATATTACAGATCATAAGGAGAAAAAGTACATTTCCCAATTAGTTTTCCATGCTAGTTTGTTGAAACCTGTATGACTCAAATAGCAAAACATAGAAAAGTAATAGACCTATTTTTCTTTTGACCTTTGATGTGAAAATTCTGAACAAACTATTTGTTTAAAGAACCTTCAGTGTATTAATTCAAGTACACCCTCTATATGATTAAGGTCAATCCAGGAATGCAAGGATGGTTCAGTATATAAAAATTTAATAATATAAGCTCTTATACTAACAAATTAGAAGAGAAAAATCATTGCATGACTAGATGCTTAAAAGGTATTTGATAAAATTCCATGGTAACTTCCAATAGCAGTTGTAAATGGATAAAAAGAAAACAACCCAAGTGAGTAAAACCTATTTATTCCAAAGCCAAAACAAATGTCCTTTTATACAGGAAGAGACGTTGACTTTATTTAGTTTTTTTTAATTTAAATTCAATTAGCTAACATATAGTACATTATTAGTTTCAGATGTAGTGTTCAATAATTCATCATTTGCGTATAACAGCCAGTGCTCATCACATCACGTGCCCTCCTTAGTGGCCATCACCCAGTTGCCCCATCCACCCACACACCTCCCCTACCACAACCCTCAGTTTGTTTCCCAGAGTCAAGAGTCTCTCATGGTTTGTGTCCTTCTCTGATTTCTTCCCATTCAGTTTTCCCTCCCTTCCCCTATGATCCTCTGCACTGTTTCTTATATTCCACATATGAGTGAAACCATATGAAAATCTTCTTTCTCTGGTTGACTTATTTCACTTAGCATAATACCCGCCAATTCCATCCACGTAAATGTAAATGGTATGTATTCATCCCTTCTGATTGCTGAGTAATATTCCAGTGTATATATAAACCACATGTTCTTTATTCATCCATTTGTTGAAGGACATCTCGGCTCCTTCCAGTTTGGCTATTGTGGACATTGCTGCGATGAACACTGGGATACAGGTGTCCATTTGTTTCACTACATCTGTATCTTTGGGGTAAATACCCAGTAGTACAATTGCTGAGTCATAGGGTAGCTCTATTTTTAACTTCTTGAGCTCTATTTTTAACTTCTTCCATATTGTTTTCCAGAGTGGCTGTACCAGCTTGCATTCCCACCAACAGTGTAAGAAAGTTCCCCTTTCTCCACATCCTCGCCAACATTTGTTCTTCTCTGTCTTGTTAATTTTAGCCATTCAGACCGGTGTTAGGGGGTATCACATTGTGGTTTTGATTTGTATTTCCCTGATGACAAGTGATGTGGAGCATTTTTTTATGTGTCTGTTGGTCATTTGTATGTCTTCTTTGGAGAAGTGTCTGTTCATGTCTTCTGCCCATTTCTTGACTGGGTTATTTGTTTTAGGGTGTTGGGTTTGAGAAGTTCTTTATAGATCTTGGATACCAGCCCTTTATATGATATGCCATTTGCAAACATCTTCTCCCATTCCATAGGTTGCGTTTTAGTTTTGTTGACTGTTTCCTTTGCTATGCAGAAGTTTTTATCTTGATGAAATCCCAATAGTTCATTTTTGCTTTTGTTTCCTTTGCCTTTAGAGACATGTCTTGCAAGAGGTTGCTGTGACCAAGGTCAAAGAGGTTGCTGTGGCCAGGGTCGAAGAGGTTGCTGCTTGTGTTCTCCTCTAGGATTTTGCCTGTCTCACATTTAGGTCTTTCATCTATTTTGAGTTTATCTTTGTATATTGTGTAAGAGAATGGTCCAGTTTCATTCTTCTGCATGTGGTTGTCCAACTTTCCCAGCACCATTTATTGAAGAGACTGTCTTTTTTTCCATTGTGTATCCTTCCCTCCTTTGTCAAAGATTAGTTGACCATAGAGTTGATGGTCCATTTCTGGGTTTTCTATTCTGTTCCATTGATGTATGTGTCTGTTTTTGTGCCAATACCATGCTGTCTTGATGATCACAGCTTTGTAATATAGCTTGAAGTCGGACATTGTGATGCCCCCAACTTTGGTTTTCTTTTTCAACAGTCCCCTGGTGATTTGGGGTCTTTTCTGGTTCCAAACCAAATATGTTCTTAAAGTTGTCTGTATTTCCTTGTTGTTGGTTGTGATCTCTCCCCTTTCATTCATAATTTATTAATTTGGGTCCTTTCTCTTTTATTTTAGATATGTCTGGCTAGAGGTTTATTGATCTATTTAATTCTGTCAAAGAACCAGCTTCTAGTTTCATTAATCTGTTTCTACTGTTCTTCTGGCTTCTGTTTTATTGATTTCTGCTCTAATCTTTATTATTTCTCTTCTCCTACTTGGTTTAGGCTCTATTTGCTATTCTTTCTCCAATTCCTTTAGGTGTAAGGTTAGCTTGTGTATTTGAGATTTTTCTAATTTTTTGAGAGAGGCTTGTACTTCCCTCTTAGGACCACCTTTGCTGTATCCCAAAGGCTTCGAACAGATGTGTTTTCATTCTCATTGGTTTCCATGAACTTTTAAGTTCTTCTTTAATTTCCTGGTTGACCCATTCATTCTTTAGTAGGATGGTCTTTAACCTCCAAGTGTTTGAGTTCCTTCCAAATTTCCTCTTGTGATTGAGTTCAAGTTTCAAAGCATTGTGGTCTGAAAATATGCAGAGAATAATTCCAATCTTTTGGTGTTGGTTGAGACCTGACCTGTGACCCCAGTATGTGATCTATTTTGGAGAAAGTTCTATGTGCACTTGAAAAGAATGAGTATTCTATTGTTTTAAGATGGAATGTTCTGCATAGATCTGTGAAGTCCATCTGGTCCAGTGTGTCATTCAAAGCCCTTGTTTCTTTGTTAATCTTCTGTTTAGATTATCTGTCCATTGCTGTGAGTGGGGTGTTGAAGTCCCCTACTATTAATGTATTTTTATCAAAGTGTTTCTTTACTTTGGTTATTAATTGGTTTATATAATTGACAGCTCCCATGTTAGAGGCATAAATATTTACAATTGTTAGATCTTCTTGTTAGATAGACCCTTTTAGTATGATATAGTGTCCCTCTTCATATCTTACTACAATCTTACTACTTACTATTAGCTTAAAATCTAATTTTTCTGATATGAGATTTGCTACCCCAGCTTTCTTTTAAGGTCCATTAGCATGGAAAGCAGTTCTCTACCCCCTCACTTTCAGTCTGGAGGTGTCTTTAGGTCTAAAATGAGTCTCTTGCAGATAGCATATGGATGGGTCTTGCTTTTTTTTTTTATCCATTTGATACCCTATGTCTTTTGATTGGAGTATTTAGCCCATTTATATTCAGGGTAACTATTAAAATATATGAATTTAGTGCCATTGTATTGCCTGTAAAGTCCCTGTGTCTGTTGATTGTCTCTCTTTCTGGTTTATGTTATTCTTCAGCTCTCTCTTCCCTTTCAAGATCCACTTTAATATTTCTTGCAGGGATGGCTTGGTGGTCAAATATTCTTTCCATTTCTGTCTGTCCTGGAAGCTCTTTATCTCTCCTTCCATTCTGAATGACAGCTTTGCTGGATAAAGTATTCATGGCTACATGTACCCTGAATATATCATGCCAGCCTGTTCTGGCCTGCCAGGTTTCTGTGGATAGGTCTGATGTTAGTCTGATATTCCTCCCTCTGTAGGTTAAAGCCATTTTTTTCAAGCCGCTTTCAGGATTTTCTCTTTGTCCCTGAATTTTGGAAGCTTCACAATTATATGTCAGGTTGTTGATTTATTTTTATTGATTTGGGGAGGGGTCCTCTCTACCTCTTGGACATGAATGCTTGTTTCCTTCCCCAGATTAGGGAAGTCTTCAGCTATGATTTGCTCAAATATGCCTTCTGGCCCTCCCTCTCTTCATCCTCAGGCACCCCAATAATTCTGACGTTGGTATGTTTCATGGCATCACTGATTTCTCAAAGCTTGTCTTCATGGGCTATTAGTTGTTTTACTCTCTTTTCCCCAACTTCCTTTCTTTCCATCAACCTGTCTTCTAGATCACTTACTCTCTCTTCTGCCTCATTTACCCTAGCTGTTAGAGCATCCAATTTAGACGGAGTCTCAGGTACAGCATTTTTAAATTCAGCTTGATTAGATCTTATTTGTGCACTAAGAGATTCTCTGATGAGATGCTGACTTTAAAATAAAGAACCAGACAAGGATAGATGTCATTGCCTTTATTTTCAACATTGTTTCAGAGGCTCTACATGATATAAAAAGACAAGGAAACAAAGTAAGTCACGAAATTGGAATAAGGAAGAGTCAAATTTCTCATCATTTTCAGAAGATATGATTATATATAAAATTTTGTTGTATATTGTTATACTTCATAAGACAATTTGGGAAGGTAGTTCGATAGAAGATAAAAATGATAGCTTTTTATTACGCTACTCATAAGTAACTACATCAATGATAATATTTTCCACTTACTATTCATTTTTGAGGTTCCAGGCACTTCAGTCCACAATGTGAACAGCACTTCTGTGACACTGGGCAGTCATGATCCTTCAGGCACTTGGGTCTATCAATCTTGGAACACACCATGGGCTTGCGTGGGCAGAAACCTGATTTGACTTTATGGGATAAAATAAGACATTTGACCTTGAAATACTTGATCATAGTTTGGGGAACTTGGGGAACCCTAAACAGGGTTTTCTTCTGACTAAGCCTCTTACCCTTCCCCCCAGAGTAACAAGAGAGTGCAGAAAGCAGAGTATCAACTTTCAGTGGCTAATAATTTGGGAAGTATCAAAAAGGCTTGCCATCTCTGACATAGACAATCTGATAGAATTCCTGCTGGCCCCCACAGAACTTAGGGATTTGGGTTATCTAATCCCAGAGTACCAGAGGTAGAAGAACTATTGAGAGCACCCAGAACTTCCTTGTTTTATAAGTTGTAGAAATTGAAGATCATGTAGGGGCAAGTGAGTTGTCTATGGCCATACAGAAAACAAGTAGAAGAGTTGAAGTCAGCTGAAAGGCTTTGGGTTCCTTCCCCCATACTATACTGTACCTCAAAACACTAACAATCCCTGGGACAAGACCATACTATCTCAGCACTACATGAGGAAATGAGCACTAGCCTCAGAGTCTACTGAGATCACTTCTGCCCACCAGCATTTTGCTACCCATCTTTTCCCCAGCATACCTTACAGGATATGAATATGCTCTACATATTGTGTAGACATAAGGGCTTATTAGGAATGTACCTAATGGTTATCATTCTTTTGTATGAATAAATGGATATTGTCACCTGTAAGGCAGTGAAGAATGAGACTCAGAATTAAATAAGTTCTCATGGAGAAAAATAGGGAGTGATAGTAGGCATGGTTGGCTTTGAAGACTAGTACAATAGTTTCCTGAAATCAAGAGGACAACACGAGAGCAGTGATTGGGCATTAAAGAAGGAAAAATTCCCAAGAGATATCTAAGGTCAACCAAAGGGGCATCCCATTCCATGGGACAACATGGCATGCTTAGCATATGCCCTGGAGACTTTGGGAGGTATATCCCCAATCCTCACCTGTCCAAGCCTTGGCACAAACAAAGCCACACATGGATTCACAACATTTGTCAGTTTGGGGGCAATCGGAGTCACTCTTACACGAAGCTGGACACACCATACGGTCCTTGAAAGGGAAGAGTGGGCACTGTCCATTCTTGACTAAAACAAGAGTAGATGTGAGTTCCCTCAAACCCTACCCCATCTCACACTCTTCAAATATCTCCTCCCCCTTTAAAACTAGTATCTCTTTCTGTGACTTGGTTCACTCTACCGTGACTACCTCTGGTAGGCTGTGGAGGAATGGAATGCCTCAGCATCTCATGCGATGTAAGAGAAAGAGAGTTGGGCTTGTTCTTTGAAGCTCCAGGTGAGAAGACGGCTCCCCGGATTGGGGCGGCAGCTGAAGATGTGGTAGCAAGTGGTCAGATTCTGGATCTATTTTTAAGATAGATCTAAAATGATTTCCTAGCTCAATGGGTGTGGATTGAGAATGTCGATGTTGATTCATCAAGGGTGATTTAGAAGTTGATTTCAATCAAGATGGGAAGAACTATGGACAGAGCAAGTTTGAGGTGGGAGAGCAAAGATGAGTGGTTCTGCTTTAGACAAGTGAAGTGTGAGGTGTTTGTGAGATCGAGATGAAGGAGTAGAGAATGCAGTTGGAGTTTGGGAGTCAAATTCAGACTGGAGCTACAACTATGTGGGTCACTAGGACATAGATGGTGTTGAAATCAATTCTTTAGGATTTTGTGCATGTTTCCTGTTGTCATTATTTGATTACAAATTCTATGAGGGCAGGAAGTATTTCTTTTCTTCTCTTATTCCTTCTCCTTCTACTTCTCTTTCTCCTTCTTCTCCTTCTCCTCCCTCTCCTTCTTCGTCAAGTCAGACTCTGTCAGAGTGTGCTGTGTTTGACTCTCAGAGCTATGGTTAGGTCCTTTCTTAGCCCCAAACATGAATTTCCCCCAATCCCACCCAAGCTCATTTCCCTGGCTTCTTCTTTTTGCTGCTTCTGAGAGTGAGCCAAGGTCTAATGCTTAGTGCCATGATTCCGTAAAGCCTCCCACAAAGGGCCAGACCACAAGACTGCCTTTGCTAGGGGCACCTGGGTGGCTCAGTTGTTGGGCGTCTGCCTTCGGCACAGGTCATGATCCCAGGGTCCTGGGATCGAGTCCCGCATCGGGCTCCCTGCTCCACGGGAAGCCTGCTTCTCCCTCTCCCATTCCCCCTGCTTGTGTTCCCTCTCTCGCTGTGTCTCTCTCTGTCAAATAAATAAATAAATTCTTTAAAAAAAAAAAAAAAGACTGCCTTTGCTATTCAGGCTCACTGGACTTACAGAATTAAAGTTCCAGATCTACCCCTGACCACTGTGAATTCTTGGGCAACTAACTTTACCTCTATGACTCTGTCTTCTTGTCTGTATTATGGAGGTGACGGTACACTATTCAGCCTGCTTCCCAGACTCTGAGATCAAAGTTCCAGTGCTGCCTTGTAAGTCACATAGTGCTGCATTTGAACATCAGTGGTCACCACCTGGAATGCTACCATTTAGCAAGCCCACACTACTGAACAGTCCCCATGTCAAACCCTTGTGTCCTGATCACATATAATCCACCAAAAACTCAGTGAGGTCTTTGCTGTTATTCCAGTATTACAGGGGAGGGAACTGAAACTAGGTGAAGTAATTTGCAGTAAATGGGGAAAGGAGAATTTTTATCTGGGTTATCTGGCACCTACTTCTGTAAGACACTATCTCCCAGTATCACTGATCCTTGTCATTATAGTAGGAATCAATCCACAGCCCTCACCTTCACCTAATCTTATTCTTCACTAACTCCATGCTCTACCCGTACAGGTTCTGGGGTTCCAGAACCTGATCTGTTTATGCTTCATACGTCGGTGAGTCCCCAGGTACTACTCAATAGATATGTGCACTATGTCATTTTTCTGGCACAACAACTCCATTAGGTAAATACTATTATTATCCCCCTTTTATAGACAAGAATACTGAAGTTCAGGGAAGCAGGCAACTGACCCAAAACCACCCATTCAGTGAATGACAGAGTTGACTTGAACCAAGACAGTTTGGCCTCAAAGCCTGAGCATATAACTGCGCTGGTATACTATTTCTGGGTTAGTCTAGTCCCTCTGATTGTCAGGGATATAAGTCTTACCAGCTGATGAGCAAGCCATTTTGCAGTTGGCGATGCTGATGAAGTTGTTGGCATTCCCATGGCAGCCTCCATAGATAAAGGGTTGGCAGGACTGATGTTTAAAGTCAAAATACCAGCGTAAGATATTAATGTTACACTGTCCTTTGTCAAAGGGTAGCATGCAGGGTTCTGAAGACAGGGAAGCAAAGAGGGGAGAAGATCAAGGGTAGGAAAAAAGAGAAAGGGTCAGGCTCTCAGCTTTTACCCTGTTCTTGGTATGACCACACAAGTCATAGAGAGAGCCACTGTCAATAAAAGTTCTAGCCTAGCTCTCCTACAAATATGGAACTGATCTTTCTTCTCTTAGGCCCTGAGCTTTGGTAGGGCAAGATTTGTTCAGCGACTATATCCAAAGTGCCTAACAAAGTGCCTGGCACATGGAACGAAACACGAAGAAAGAAAAACAGCAGTCTCTCATATCTGGAAGCTGATCTGATGCTCACAGCTAAGCCATGTCATTCCTTCTCAGATGGAAACAAGCCACAGGACATCCACATCAAACAGGGTTGCCTCTGGACCATCATAAAAGGAGACTAAAAAACAGTATTATGAAACCCACAAAATACCAAACACCTATGAGTGCTTTATCCTTCTCTACCCATTACGACTTTATCCTCAGTCTAGCCTGCCTTCTCTGTACATAAGATTCCCTGAGAGCATCATAAAATTGCCCCACTTTCCGACAACACCCAATGTAGAGCAAATCCACTCCCCCAAATTCCCCAATCAAAGCCTCAATCCTATAGTAGATTCTTTCCAACAGCTTCTTACTGAGATCCCTCAGGTTGTCTATGGTGAACATTCTCCCTCACTACAACGAGTAATAAATCCAACTTGTTCAACTACAGGTGTGTTCCTGATGGTCTTTGGCTAAAGGACATTAACAATAGGTATCTGTTGAGTGAATGCATGCAAGTATATATACATAATGCAGAATTTCCTATTGTGAGATGCTCTATACTTTGAGTCGCCAGAAAACCTCTTTGAAGGCCAAAGAGTCCAAAGCCAAGCCCAGCATCTAAGCTGACTGAGGTTTGTATTTACCATAATGCCAACAATAGTCTCTTGACACTTAGTGAGCACTCAACAAGTATTTCTTATTTGTGAATGTTTGAATATTGGATCAAAGAAGACTATCATCAATATTTTCCAGTTGACATCCCCCATGCCTAGACTCATTGTTTGTACTTGAGGGCTGGGAATCTGATTAGAGAAAGAGAAAAGCATGAATCCTGACCTCTTTGCCCTACCATCCAAGGGAATCATTCAACCAGCTCTGGATGGAGCAGGAAGTAAGACACCTCAAAAAGCACCTGTGCCCTCAGCCTGGAAGCTACTACCTTGGAGTGGATCCATGCACTTTTTCCCACACCCGAATGAGCAGCACTTCATGTGTTTTAGGCACTGCAAATCAGTTGTGCAGAAGTCTGGAACTTCAGTCTCACAGATGACCCTCTCTCGGGGGCACACTCCTGGTTTCTCTGCAAGAAAGCAATGTCCAAATTCACATCCCTTGAGAGTTTCAGCTCTCCTCCCATTGCAAAGGTGAATAGTGACATTCTATCAGCCCTCTCTTCTATCTTCCATCCTCAGTTCTCCCTCTGCTTATATTTAGGGGCTGGGTCTGCCTCTCACCACTCATAGCTCATTTAGATTGATCTGAATCTGGAATCTGTGCTCAGGTCAGCTGAAAGGGAGCATCTCAGATTCCACAGCAGGGAATTAGATAGGGACCAAGAGCCTTACCTTAAGTTCAGGAGCTCCTCTCTCCTCTTGAAACTTAATATGTTAATGCCCAATTCCTCTGCCTCCAGAGTCTTAGTTGATAGGGGAAATTAATTAGTAAGGAGTGGTAGAAATATCATGGAAATAGGGGTATAGGAGTCATGAGGCCTGATTTGGATCCCCTGACTCCTTGTGAAATCAAGACCAACCTGAGTTCCACTATATAACTTCTTAGTTACCCCCTTTAGGGTAACAGAAATGGGCATCAGGAGGAGCAGTGTAAAACAGACTTCGTTTGGGAGCCTGACTCCAACACGACTAGCTAAATAATCTTGGCGGGGGAAATATTCCTTCTGAGTCCAACGTTTCCCATCTATAAAATGAGAATTACAATCTCTACCTTACGACCTGCTTCTAAGAATTAAGGGGGATGATGCCTTTAATGCATTCATCACAGTGCCTGGCACATGGGAAGAGCATGGCAAATATGGGTTTGCTTCCTCCCTTTTTAGGGCTAGACACAGCTTCCTAATTTCTGAGCTTGTGGGAGGCAGAATGCTAAAGTTGCATCCCCAAGATTCCTGTCCTCTGGTTACTGAATCAACATGAATTTAGGTGGGCTATGAGGGATTTCATAGATGGAATTAGAGCCCCAAGTTAATTGACCTTAAAATAGAGAGATTATCCGACTGGGCCAGACCTAAGCTGTTGAGTCCTTAAAAAGAAGAATTTTCCCCTTGACTAATAGAGAAGAGGTAAGAGAGATTTGAACCCAACATGCTATTAGGAGTTTTGAGGACAGAGAGAACTTAGTGTCCTGGATTGAAGGTGGCCTCTGGAAACAACTTCAGTGGTACAACTATAAGGACACGATTCTGCCACCGCCAGTGAGTGTCCATGAGAACCCTGGGTCCCAGATGGGGAATGCAGCTTTGGCTGCCACCCTGGATTCAGCCTGCGCAGAGAAACCTGACACACCACACCAGACTTCTGACCAGAGAGGCATGATCCTTTTGGAGACTACTGAATCTTGGAATTATAGAAGTTTAGAATTGGAAAGACCATACTGCTCATTAGTATCACCCTCCTAATTTCCCAGGTTAAAAAAAAATGAAGTCAGATGGGAAAATACAGTGAATGAGGGGTGGGTCTAGGACCTCCAATCCATGACTCACTCCAGAAGCCCTGAACACTGACCATTGAGACTTTTAGTACTTTCCAGCTATATTTCTTACCCTTCATACCACCCTTCATGCACTCTCCAAGGATGTCTGAGGCTAGGAAGAATTATGGTTCCTAATCTGTAGTGTACATTGAAAACACCTGTGCATCTTTTAGAAACTACAGACCATGGCCTGAATCAGAATCTCTAGAAAGTGAAGCCTAGGGGCTTAAATTTTTTTTCTCTCTCTCTTTTTTTAATTTAAATTCAATTAGCAAGGTATAGTACATCATTTAAAAGCACCTCTGGTGACATTGAAGCAGGCATTTGGGCACCATGATGTAGGCTGCTACTGGGGAACTACTGTTCTAGGTTTGGGCACAGAGAGAGTAAAGCAATTCAAATAGGGACACCTCCAAAGAGGTAAAAAGGCATAGAAATCTTGGAATTATAAAGACAAATGTCCCCTTGCTAGTGTAGACTCTAGTCAGTCTTGCCTCCCTTCTGCTCCTGAGGCATGTAAACCGTTTTTGGTTTAGCCATTGTAGCTCCTTGCCCTACTGTCAGCTTCAGCACTCAGTTACAATCTTCCTCCCTCCCAGTCAGCCCTCCTCAGCTACTTACCTTGTCTGTGCAGCCTCCTCCCCAAATGCACAAGCCCTGGGGGTTCCTCTGCAGCTACTGGGGATGGTCCCCGGAGTTTGGGTTTCAGCTCTCTCCTGTCATTACCTGACACACACTTCCTGCATCAATTTGCATGATGCTAACTGTGGTTCCCATGCCTCCCTCCAGACCTATTCTCACTTCCAAGCTAAGGCACATATCCAACCACCTGGGGAACATATGTCTGGGCCCCTCAAGAGAACTGTAAGCCCACATGTATAAATCAGAATTAGCTTCTCCCTATTCCTCAGCAGTACCTCCTTCTCTCTGCTCCCATCTTTGTATTTGGCATCAACAGGCCCCCAGGCTGTCTTGAGAACCCTGAGATTCACTCTTCCCTCTCCTTTACCCTAGCATCCTGTCAATCATGGACTTGGGCCAGTTCTACCTACCAATCTCTCTCCAAGCCCCATGGCTTACCCTCTTGGCCACCACTTGCGGGTCAGCCCCCAGCGTCATCCCAACTCTCTCCTCCACTTGTGCAACCGCCTCCTCACTGTCCTCTGCCCTCGGACTCTTGCCTAGTGACTGATTCACTTTAAAAAAATTAAACTTGGAAAAGACACATGTCAGGTAAAGCTAGGGAAATAATTTGGAGGGAACAGTTGAGGGAAGGATTTGAAGGGTCCAGGGTGGGTGAGTAGGGCTAGTTCTCTGAAGCCACAGAGGAAGTGATCTCATAAAACAGGAGTCCTTGCCTCCTGTCTGACCCTTAGTCCCAGGAAATCCTCCTAAGCAGGGGTAGTTGCAGCTTCTCTGAACCCACGTTTGACTCTCTTGATTGGCGATGAAGTGCTCTCCTCCATAGAGAGAGAGAGAAGCAGCAGGAGTGCTACATTTCTCCAGAAGAAGGTGGAACTATGGAGAGGAAGGTGCCTGTGTGGGATGAGAAGAGGCATGGGGTTTAGGTACAAGCCAGAGAGAAACACAGAGCATGTGCTGAAAACCATGAAGACAGCCCACCAGTTCTCTCACTTCACAGATGAGGAAACCAACCAAATTGTGCAGTGAGTGGTGAATGGGTTTGTCTGAGATCATGTGGAGAGTAGGGTAGGACCTTCAGACCCAGGCCCAGGACTCTCCCAGTGGCCCCATACTCTGCCACAGTACTGTCCCAAGACATTCGCCTATTGTCTTGCTCCTACATGAGAGGTCACATATGAATGATTACAGGGATTTGTCTGGAACAGTTGCAGGGTTGGTTTGCCCACTGTCATTCCCAGGGCAAGCCCAGACACAAGTGAACACCTTTTCCTTGCTCCACTGATGACAAGAAACTGATGGTATGAGATTTTCAAGAGGGCCTGGGCAGGTCCCACAGGGTCTTAGAGCCCCAGAAGCAAAAAAAAATCCCAGATGATCTTGAGTTAACAAAAGGATTCCTCAGATTCCTTCTGGTGTTATCCAAGCTTAGCTTCTGATACTTCCAGAGCACCCCATAAATGGATGACCCTCTCCTACTCATTCAACCCCCATTTCCACATGTCTCTTCCTGGTCCTTTTGTACTTTTTAATTTTGTGATGTGAAGAACTGATAATGCCTTGCGATGTTACCTCTCTCAGACTAAATGCTTTTTGAAAACAACAAGAGAGGGATGGAGGCAGAAAGGAAGGGAGACAGAGAACATTGTTATGCCCAGGAATGCACCTATGTTATTGGTGGAACTTCAGACAGTGGGAAAGGGGTACAGTCTTTTCCAGATCTCCTGAAACCATACTACGTGGCTGCTTAAGAGTAAAGACTTGTAGCAATTTATTCATTTTTGTCTCCAGAATTCTAATCCTGTATCCTCCCCGAATTTTATAACAGTGCCTAGACTGTTCAGTAATAACAATTATGGCCCCAAACCCAGTAACGCTGATTCTTCGAACTGGCTTTGTAACTTTTCACTGTAGCTGTATCTTGGAGCCTCAGTTTCCTCATCTGGAAAATGGAAACCATACAACCTTCCTGGCAGCTTTGCTGTCACTGTGAGGATTAGATGAAATCAGGTGAAGATTATTCATGAAGTGGCATGGAATGGTCAAAAACAGTGCTTGGAGTTGGACCTGAGTTCACGTCGTAGATCCCCCACTTACCAGCTACGTAGTCTTGGCTCAGCCACTGAACCTCAATGAGCCACAGTCTTTCTTCCTTTCCTTCCTTCCTTCCTTTCTTCCTTCCTTTCTCTTTCTTTTTTTTTTTCCTCTCTTTCTTTCTTTCAAGATTTTAATTTTAAGTAATCCCTACACCCAGTGTGGGGCTTGAACTCACAAGCACAAGATCAAGAGTTGTGTGCTCTTCCAACAGAGCCAGCCAGGCATCCCACACCTCCATTTTCCTTAAAGGAAATAATAACACATTTACTTCATAGACATGGGAATTAATGGAACTATTGTGGAAAGCATGGTGACTGGCATAATTAGTGCTTAATATATTTTAGTCAACAGACAAATAATCTACTGAATGCCAAAAAAATGTACCTATTACCTTTTTAGCTCTTGAATTTCCTGTAAAAAACTGTGTGTATCATTACTTCTGTCCCCCAAAAAGATTAGCCAAGGCTCTATGGTGTCTTAAATTCTTATATCAAATCACTCTTTTGGTTTGAAGTTTTATACCTATTAACCAAGTCTTGAGTATTAGTTGATCAGATTAGCCTGTAGTCAATTAGTAGGAAGCAGAGCTTCTGGGGTGGGGGTGCAAGGAAAGATGCAGATTGCCAAATATAATACAGGATATTCAGTGAGAATTTTTAGTTGAAGTATATCCCACAAAATATAAAGACCATAGTTACAGGAAAAATGATTCAGTGTTTATCTGACATTCAAATTTAGTTGGTCATCTTACATTTTTATTTCCTAAACCTGGTAACTTTAAAACAGAGTGAATTCATTCTGGGGGGGATTTGTTTGGGTAAGAGACTACAAAACATGGGTCCTGCCAGGAACATTCAAAAGAGGGTGGGGGACTTGCTCAGTGGCCCTGGGGACTGGGACAGACGTGGGAGGCATAGGCAAAGGTCCTGTAGGAAGAACAATGAGCCAGGAATGAAGAGACTGACTGAAGCCCTAGTTCTACCATTAATTCACCATGTGAATTTGGGCTACTTTTATCTCAGTCTACCCACTTGGAAAATGAGAAGATCAACTCAGTCAGTCCTGTCCATACTGCATACCCATACCCCAGAGGACACAGGAAGATCTTCCAGAGGGTACACAGGCAAAAACAGACTTGAGGACATGATATCCTGGTTCTTAAATTCCACATTTACTTTTTCCTGAAGTTGGTCTTCCTGAAAAAGAGCTTCCTGAAAAAGAGCCTGCAGTCTGTGTTTTTCCTTTTCTAACTGTTTTTCAGAAAGTCCTGTGCTGCTTCCAAAAAAGGCAGGGATGGAAGCATATTTCTTTTTTTTTTTTTTTAAGATTTTGTTTATTTATTTGAGAGAGAGAGCGAGTACATGAGAGGGGGGAGGGTCAGAGGGAGAAGCAGACTCCCTGCCGAGCAGGGAGCCCGATGCGGGACTCGATGCGGGACTCGATCCCGGGACTCCAGGATCATGACCCGAGCCGAAGGCAGTCGCTTAACCAACTGAGCCACCCAGGCGCCCCTGGAAGCATATTTCTTATCTCTTATATGTGCCCAAAGGATAAAAACTGAGTTCCAAACAAAGGAACAATTTGAAAATGCATTTTCCTGGGGATGCTTCCCCAAGAACAAAGCAAAAAACAGGTGGGTAGGAAACACTAAGAGGTCAGTACCTTGTTTCATTCAGGTGACAAAGTCATAGTACATTGCTAAGCCTTTAGCTCCCACTTCTAGAGTTAGAAATCCCAAAAGCGATGGTACATATCTGCAGGGGTGTGTATTAAAACATTCATTTCAGTTGAAAAACGAAGTCCTTCTTTTTGTAGGAGAAAGTGGTCTGATTTGGCTAATTGAGGACTGACTCTGTCAATTAGTTGATTTGTTTAACATTTTCCATAAATACAGTGAGTTAAATCTGTGGCATCAAAAATTTTTTTAATGTACTTAAAGCATGCGATAAGATACAAGCATTTTATAAAATATATATTATCTCAGGTCTATCAAAGTTAATAGTATTCAAACTTTTCAACATTTACAGAGTGTATCAGATTAAATAAAGTGTCCAAATAAAAGAATAATGGGTATAATTAATAACATTATTGATCATTTGGCAAATTTGGAAAACTTTCCAGAAATTAAGAAAACCACTTGTGATTTGTGATCAGTATCCTAATAGGAAACAAATTCTTTTCAAGTATACAATTTCCAATCCCATGCCTTTATAAAAATTGAAAGGGGGTTTAATCAAGCTGTTTATTAATATTTAACTTAGATCATTGAAAATATTTTTTTTCTTATAGAGTGTTATGTGATTTGGGGCAATGTACTAGAAGTTCAAAGAACCAAGTGACATACCTATAACAAAACTCCTTTTTTTCCCCAGCACTTACTATCACTGAGAGATACATTACCTATAGAATTTTGTTTATCAATAAAATTTTGTTAATCAATAATTTCAATGTATTTACTTACATATCCATTATTATTATGTTATTTAAATAACAACTGGAATGAAAAATCAATCCATAAGAAAAACTTTTATTCCTAGAGTCTTATGGTCCCAGTAAATGAAAAATTAAAATTTCAATCTGTACACATTTTTATTGCATAGCAGTATGAAAAGGTCGTGATTGAAAGACTCTTGAACATAAGATTATATTGTATTAGATTAAGAGTCTGGGGGATAATAGGAATGGAAATATGAGTTCAAGAAGATGGAGAAGTGTTTTAAAATGTCCAACTTTTAGGGCGCCTGGGTGGCTCAGTTGGTTAAGCGACTGCCTTCGGCTTAGGTCATGATCCTGGAGTCCCGGGATCGAGTCCCGCATCGGGCTCCCTGCTTGGCAGGGAGTCTGCTTCTCCCTCTGACCCTCTTCCCTCTCATGCTCTCTGTCTCTCATTCTCTCTGTCTCAAAAAAAAAAAAAATCTTTAAAAAAAAAATGTCCAACTTTTAAAGAAATGCTTTCCATGTATTTTTTTAAACGGATGATTGTGTTGCAATACGTGCTGTCCTTAATATCCATCACCAGGCTAACCCATCCCCCTACTCCCCTCCTCTCTAAAACCCTCAGTTTGTTTCCCGGAGTCCATAGTCTCTCATAGTTCGTGTCCCCCTCTGATTTCCTTCCCTTCATTTTTCCCTTCCTTCTCCTAATGTCCTCTATGCTATTCCTTATGTTCCACATATAAGTGAAACCATATGATAATTGTCTTTCTTTCTTTGACTTACTTCACCTCGGATTGACTTTTAAAAGTTATGTAGCAGCTTTAACAATATTAACATTTACAACATGTTTGCATAACGCATTTGCGATTCCTTCATGTTGTTGTCTGTTGTCTGGACCTTCTAATTGCTGATTTAGGGTTCATCTTATGAATTACCATAAGTTGGTAATTCACTAGTTATGGACACTTGGGTTGGTTCCAGTTTGGGGGGATTATGAGTAAACCTCCTACAAAGATTTTCATGCAGGTTTTTATATGACCATAAATGGTCATTTCTCTTGGGTAAATACCAGGGAGTAGGATTGCTGGTTTGTGATAAGTATATGTTTATAAGAAGCCGCCAAAATGTTTTCCAAAGTGGCTGTACCATTTTGCATTTCTACTAGTAATATATGAGAGTTCCACTTGCCTCACATACTTGCTAGCACTTAGGATTGTAAATGTATTATTTTAGTCATTCTAATGCATGCATAGTGGTACAATTGCAAGAAATTTTAAGAGATTAAAGTAATTTGCTTAAATTTCTGAGACCCTAAGAAACTAAGTCACTTAAAATGATGGCGGGATTTTTTCCTGTTTCCCAACTGTCCATTTGACAATGTTTCAAATCCAGTGGGTTCCTCAGTTCCTGAGCCTGGGTGGTCAGAATTTTCCCCAGAACCCCATCATAGAACCTACCTCTTTGCCCAGCTTCCCCACATGGCAGAGGTTGCTCTTTGCAGTAAACGGAGGAGCATTTTGCAATCAAAAGATCTACAGATGGTCAGGAGCTGGGGGAATAGTGTGAATTTCCAGGTTACAATTTTGGGAAACTACAGGTAAGGCCCCACTATGATTCTACTACATCCCATGACCCCTGCTGCTCCCTCCACTCCCACCCCACGCTGGGTGCACACTCAGCCTCAGGTCCTATTTCCATGGCTGAGAGCTCCTCCCTCACATTTTCCTCCTCCCAATGGCATGACATGTCTTCTGCTTGGCTACTCAACCAAGAATGTGCCTTTAGCCTCAGTCACTGGGCAGACCTTGAGGAGGACAATTAGCTCCATGGGTCTCTTTCATACACCTTGCCCTAAGCTTAGGCAGAGTAAGTAGATGCCTCCTCCTCCAAAGACATGACCTTCTACATAACTCCTATCCAGTGATCGACATTCTGATACTGAAACTCTCTAAGTGTGGTGTGCAGAGCACTGTATCTCTCCACTGTGTGTTGTTTAAATATCTTAATTCTTTCTAATTTTTTGTCTCTTTGACCTATCAGTAATACAGAAAGGTGTGTTGAGGGCTCTCACTACAAAGACTTCTCAATTTATGCCTGTAATTCCATCAATGTTTGTTTAATATATCTCGATTCTATTGATTTAGGTAAATAGAAAAAATTCCTGGTGAATTGAATCTTTTATCATTATACGGTGACCCCTTCTCTACCCCTAAAATAAACTCATCTTCTAGTTCTGTATTGCCTGATATTAATCTAACTATACCATCTCTTTTTTGTTTGCATTTGCCTCGACTTTGCCCCCTCATTTTGTTTTCAACCTTTCCATGCACTTGTGTTTTATTTTTCAAACAGTGTCAATCTACATTTAAAAAAAAAATCCAGTCTAGTAATCTTTACCAATTAATTGACATTTATGGGCTTTAGTGACATATTTGGGTTCATGTCTACAATCTTATTTTGAGCTTTCTATAATCTATCCTTATTACTTGCAGATTCTGTATTTGCAAATTTATTTTGTCAAACAAATCAATATCAAGAAAACAAATAACCTGATTAATAAATGGACAAGGACTTGAATAGAAATTTCTCAAAAGAAAACATATAAGTGGTCAACCAGTATATGAAAAGATGCTCAACATCACTGATCATCAGGGAAATGAAAACTAAAACTACAATGAGATATCACTTCACATCTTGTTAGAATGGCTATAAGATAACAAGTGTTGGCAAGGATGTGGAGAAAAGGGGACTCTTGTGTGTGTTTGGTGGGAGTTTAAATTGATGCAGTCACTACGGAAAACAGCCAGGAGGTTCCTCAAAAATCAGAAACAGAACTACCATATGATCCAGCAATCCCACTTATAGGTATACTATATCCAAAAGAAATGAAAGCAATATCTTGAAGAGATATCTGCACCCCCATGTTCACTGTAGCATTATTCATGATGGCCAAGATATGGAAACCATCTAAGTGCCAGTGGATGGGTGAATGGATAAAGAAAATGTGATATATATGAATATTATTCGCCTTAAAAAAAAATCCTGTCATTTGCAACAACATGGATGAATCTGGAGGATATTATGCTAAGTGAAAGAAGCCAGACACCAAAAGGCAAATACTGCATGATCTCACTTACATGTGGAATCTCAAAAAGTTGAACTCATCGAAGCAGGGAGTAGAATAGTGATTGCCAGGGACTGGCGGGGAGGGGTGTGAAAGGGAAGATGTTGGTCAAAGGGGACAAGCCTCCAGTTATAACATGGGTAAGTTCTAGGGATCCAATGTGTAACATAGTGACTGTAATAATACTGTGTTGTGCACTTGAAATTTTCTAAGAGAGTAGATGTTAAGTGTTCTCACCACTCATAAAAAAAGAGGTGACTATGTGAGGTGCTGGAATTGTTAACTAGCTTGATTATGGTGATCATTTCACAATATGTACCTATATCAAAATTTATGATACCCATCTTCAATCTATATAATTTTTATTTGTCAATCTACCTCAAGAAAGCTGGGTGAAATTTTTTTTAAATACGAAGAAGGTTCCACTAGGTATTCAGAACTAGATTAACAGTATTCTGCCAGCATGTTAAAAATATATAACTACTGGATGGAACTGGAGGGTATTATGTTGAGTGAAATAAGTCAAAGAGAGAAAGACATGTATCATATGATCTCACTGATATGAGGAATTCTTTTTTTTTTTTTTTTGAGACAGAGAGAATGAGAGAGAGAGAGCACATGAGAGGGGGGAGGGTCAGAGGGAGAAGCAGG